ACATACTTGATTTGTGTGCATGATGCATGCACATGTTGAAATTTTAAAATTTTATTTTTGTATCGAAGCTTACGCCAGTTGAATTCCTCGAGGAATTCCTAACTGCATGCTTAATTCCGTTGAAGATGTACTGCGAAGGAAAAATAGAAATCACCAGGAATGCTGACTTTGCAGCTGAAAATCATCTTACCATGTGGTCGCTCTTTCAACCATCTCAGTATGACTGTGTACATGTCAAATTAATAAAAATACCTTTCATCCATGGCGTGGTAGTGAAATATCGCAACAATAAACGATAGGTAAATAATCTTCTATTGACCGAATTCTCCGCAGGCTTAAAAGATAGTACTTTATTTACATTCATTAGATTAGAGCATAAGGCATGTGTAAATCATCGACGTCACCAAGTCTAAGAAATGCATAAGTGGTATTGTAGTGTCTGTCTTGAATGCGATTGATGTATTAAGTTCTCGATCTCGTGCCCTTAGAATAAGTTGTTGGGCAAAATAGTCACGAAGAATAAATGTAATGAAGAATACTGCGTTTACAGATCTTAGGTGAGTATTTAGTTATCTATGACGTACATCTGTCTGAAATCTCAATTTAGTTAAATCAATTATGAACAGTAGTCTGTGTATAGGACTTTAGGTACGTGTTAAACTAATCAGTAATGAGGTTTACTGAACTCTGCAGCTACATTCGCGAGGTATATACGACAAGCATGCAAAACGTACTGTCATGTATCATTGCATGGAGTCGAGTATCGTATATATATAACGCATTAACGTTAACTAGCTTAGAAATCGCGTGAGCGGGTTAATAAATGCACGTATTTCATTTACTTTCTCTAAAAAATAACAGGGACCTGATAACTGCATGAAAGAGCTATCATTGTTAAAGTACAATTGTAGGTGCATGCTGTATATAGTCGTGTAGATAGGCTGTACGCGTGGATCGAGGATTCCAGATCGAAATTAATGTCTGTTAGAGTTTATAACCCTGTTGATATTTCTAGATTTCATGCGCTTTCGAGCACTGAAGAGATTGACGTCAATGACGTGTCGCAATATTAGACAAAGTATTTACAATCATGCAGTTAGTACTCTGCTTCACGATGTTCATGTTCGGTATATGGCGTTGCCGTTGTAGGTGAATGATCCTAATTTGTATACCTAAAATCGGCTAATTTCAGGGACTTTTTTCCTACTTGATCAAATACGACGTGCAAGCTATAGAAACAACCTCCACATGCAGGCACCGAACAATATTTAGGTATATGTATACGATGCTATATATTAGGTATGTAGCTATACGATACTATACAATATGTCTTTATACTTGGCATTTAGACCGAGACTCAATCACTACGGTACCTCAGGATAGATCCGGTATAAAAAGATGCATGGAAAAGCATTCTCAGTTCCATCTTCTTCAATTTCATCTAACAGGAAAAATATATTGATATATCATGCATTATATAAAATACATATTTCAGAGGATATTGAAATCAAATTGCGTTGATAGCCATGAATTAAATTTATAAATAAGACAATCATACAGACCCCTCCCTTCAGACAGCACGAAAACCTTGTATTGTGTTAAGATTATTAACTTCAAGTATAGCTTGAAGCAGTTTGTCTAACAACTTGTTTACAAGACAGTTTATGCAAATGATCTTTAATTTGCAATAATATCGAAACTGGTACAGCCTACAGCTATAGGAGGTTGTGATGCAAAACATCTTGTTGTGAGCACACATTGCAACAGCTGCGGGCAGGACAGACTCGGGAATCTCATTGTGATCATAGACTCATAGTGATCACCTGCCTTTCATACAAAACCAGACACAATGTAACGCCCACCGTGACTGAAAACCGAGCAAACGAGACAGAGGTGGGTGGAGTTTGCTTAGGAGGAAGCTTTAAGCACTGACCTCATAGTGTTTTAAGGCCTTATTAATCAAACTACGATGACAAATGAACAACAAGTCGAGTTTATTTTTAAACCTACACGTGTTTCACTAAACCTACAGTTGTTGAAGGAAATGAAAAAGAAACATATTATATATAGAGATATATATTTTTGCAGACTCTATGGATTAAGGTATAACCATGGACTGAACTGATGAACACTGGATTCATCAACTCTGAATTGGTATAGAGTGCATTTCTCAGCCTTATTAATTACTGTTGTTTACAGTACACTGCTTAATTAAAACTTGAAATCGAAAAGCCGCCTTTCTTGAACAAATACCAAGAATTCAAAGTAACAAGTGAAAATTTACCAGGGGCCTGTCGATCGAAGGCTGGTGAGTTCGTTACTCAGTTTAATCCTAAGATTAACGAAAACTTCAGAGTAACCTTCCCAACAGTTTGTTCATAAACATGGAACATTTTTCTAGAAACCTTGCATGTTGGGATCACTGGAAGATTACTTTTTCACAGGTTTGAAATGAACAGATCACAGATGTGCTGATCAACCCAAAAACTATAAACACGGAATTAAGTTTAACCTATAGGTTAATTAGCACTATATATATATCAGTAATCGATGTATGAGTATGGTGTCAAGGTTACCTTAAGATATTTAATACTTTTTCTCAATTGTTGGTGTAGGAGAAGAAAAATATTAAAGCAAATAAAAAATACTTTCAATGTGTTATAGCACTAGAGCTTAATTTGTGTTTTCTTGTAGCAATACATATATGTGCATATCATCCAGTGATATCATCCATGCATATATGTCAATGCATTAGTGAATGTACTTCGAAATAATTTTATATTTTACAGTAGCTGCCAACCAATTCCTAAGTTCATGACTCCAGTCCTTCCTTGTTCCCGGTAGACATATCTAAAATTGGTCTATAATCACAAATAACTCATAGACAATGAAGAGATTAGTCTCATGTAGGATCAAATAACAATAGCCAAAAGGCGTAATTATATATTAACGGTGATTTGGAGCTAATTAAACGGTTTGAGTTATGACAACATGCTTTTGAGAATTTGAAATATTGAAGGCTATGCTTTCCAGTTAATCTATTGCCATGAAAATTCACGCAATCATCGACGGATAATAGATTTATCAAAAACTGATTTATTCATTCTATAAGGCATCCTTATGTGGGAAAGGGGTTGGTGGAATTAAAATGCTATACATATATGAATACATGCAAACTGCAAATTTATCTGAATTGTGATAAGTTACCAGTTTTTACATCATCACTTATTAGTTAATAATTTTATAACGTCATTAATTTTAGAATTTCTACAGAATACAGTACAGAATGTACAATGACATTTGAAATGATGTAACATTTCTTGCAAAATAATAAACTTATGATTTTAATTTTCCTGGCTCATAGTCATCCTATATAGTTCCTTTTCCTTTTCTCTTTTTGAGTCTTTGTGTCAGATATAAGGTGGTGTCATGGAGTTAGTTGTATTTATCCCTTTTTCACATTAAAAACCTGGGCTGTGCAATCTTTAACAATTGAGCAACTGGTGCATGTGTCATAGCTTTGTGTTTAGGTAAGTTATTTGGGCCAGAATGCTATATATTTACTTCAAATAATAATTTTGATTCAGAAAAATAACTGATCAAAAACTCAACAGAAAGCAGGCCTTCCTAAATTTTTGGAAGTTTATATAGGATTGTCAATTTAGTTGACTTTTCACGCTTGTCATTTTGGCTATTTATAGTGAGCATGCATGCAGTACTCTTTGTATGAATACAACACTATAGCTCCCTTATTATATATTTTCCCATTGCTGCATTACTGATTTTAGTTGTCCCTTTAATTGTGTGTGCTGGGAATGTAGTAATTTTACCCTGAAATTTCGGATGTCTGGTTCCAGTCTCCAGGGGCCGGTTGTATCAAGCCCATTTAGCTTAAACGGTGGTTAATTAAGCTCAAAATAGAAAGCAAGTCTATAGATTCATGCAACAACCAAACTAAAAGTTTTGAACCTAAATAAAACGATAATGTTTACATGCAACTACTTATTCAGTGCACAATATTTAAGTTGACTGATTCACGACAGATATAAGAGTGTTATTTAATTTTGACTTATCCACCGTTTAAGCTATAAAACGGGCTTGATAGAACCGGCCCCAGATGTATACATTAATTCGTCAATGACAATGTCATTGAAGCTGCAGGAGTGGTAACCGGAAACCCAACCACGACATCGGCCTCATGCAAGTGGCGTATTTCAAAATAACATCCCCATATTGGTGAACAATACTATAAGGATTTACTAGAAAGCACGCTTTTTAATTAGAAAAAGGCAGGTGTCATTGGATAACGTCTAATATCACGCCGCCAGTATGACGTGGGTTATGCGTTCAATCTGTCAAGTATGATAACTATATGATCCAGAAGTTTTTAAAATTCCTTATCATACACTTCACATCCATTTTCGAATTCATGCAGTTCTACGATTTTAAACAACGAATCAAAGTGACCGAGAAGGAACACGGCATATAAGATATATACAGGTATACGTAAGCTAGAAAACTTTCTTCTGATACTGTAAATTAAAACGGGTACAGGATCGATGGTTTTGGACTAAGCTTCATGCGCAATATCTAACTTAACTTGAACACGATCAGAAGTTGACTTAACTGAGCGAATTATATATTAAAATTGGTTTATATTATAATACATTGATGTAACAAGCATGACGTATAAATTCATACGGTATCTATATGAACTAAAAGAGTATATATATATATATATATATATATATATATATATATATATATATATATATATATATATATATATATATATATATATATATATATATATATATATATATATATATATATTTATATTATATATATGCATGAGGTTTATACACGGCTAATATATGTTATGTCGCAGAATCAATGTTATATATATTTAGTATTATATTGTTACAGATGTAGCCTAAAATAACGCGGATCGCCATTTGAAAAATAGCTCATAGTGAGCCATAGCTATAAAGCGCGGAAAACAACAACAACCGTAGATCCGAACTTGTGATGTTTTACTGACAGGTTCGCATCTACGGACTTTGTAGTTTCTGCCTTGTCACTGGAGGAACAGTCACCATGAAACTCTGTTTGCGGGATTGAGTAGAAGCTTTATCAAAAGTAAATTACTGAATTCAGTTACACACATATTTGTAACGCCTAGTATCCCGTCCTATACCTAACAAGGTAAGTTACAAATCACATGCACACACAATATATAACCTAAACCCGAAAATATATAGGGCAAGTTTGCTTTCAATTCAAGTCTTTCAATGTATATAATATTGATATTTATGAATTTTGTTGCTTTAATTTTTTGCGTAAAACATGCACTGCTTTCAGTCATTTTCAATGTATACTGAGTTATACGTTTCCTAAATTACTACCCTGATTAGTTAAGGAAAAAACTTAAAATGTAAAGGAGAGTAAATTAATTTCAACACCGCACTGAAATTACTCAATAACTTGAACTTATTGCGTTTATTAAGCTAAAAACAGCTAGTTTATCGCCTATCGGAATGAACATTTTAAAACATCAGTTTACGAAGCGTTTTCGATTAAATCAAAGCTCATGCACAAAATGCAATAGAACATACAATATATATTTCGGAAATTCATTGTCTTATAGTTAAAAGTACTTTCTTTCAACTATTTTTACCATTTGTACAAAAAAGTATAAAAAAATTAAAAATATCGTGTTGCCATAGAAACACATGACGTTAAACTTATGCAACGCCCAATAACCCAATATATAAAAATACACAAAAAAACAAATATATACAAGTACACCCATGCAATATATACAAGTAGGCCTACACACAAAACAAATTTAGGCCTATGATACAAATATATCTCAACGAGTTCAAGTTTTTATAACTAGTCCTCCTGCTGTAGTTGCTGCCGAGCGAAGCGAAGGCAGCCACCTATTCTTGACGACGTTTACAGTTTTTACTCGTGCCAGATCCCCGCGCGACCTATGTATTTTAGCCAGAGCAAATCTCAATTTGTTTGTCGTTCGGTCATTCGGGTCGCATTTTCTGACGTCACAGAATGACGTTGTGTAAAAATTTACATACGCAGGAAGTGAACGATATCAATCCGATCTCGTCCGAAAGCGTGTTCGGTGTGCCAGTAGTAATATAGAGGCCGTTCAACCCCCATTTTTGAGGGTGCGTAAGGGTGCGCTAATTAATATTCATAAAAATGAGGGTGCGTAAGGGTGCTGAGGGTGCGTTAATTAATACTCGTACAAATGAGGGTGCGTAGTGACGTCACTCATTAACATACGTCATATGAGGGTGCGTAAGGGTGCTGAGGGTGCGTTAATTAATACTCGTACAAATGAGGGTGCGTAGTGACGTCACTCATTAACATACGTCATAATTATATGCAATGACGTCACGCGGGCGAGCTTAAACACGATCGGGCGAAACTTGCTGACTACGCATTTTTTAGCGTCCTTTCACGTGTATGATACAATGGAGGGATTAAGATTGGCTTACTATGAACTTTTATACAAGCGTCTGTATAAAATCGACAAGCGTCTTGTAACAAGCATCGTCTATATTTGTTCCACATCAGTCATGGCGTGTCTACACGGTAAAACCACATCTTACAATTTATTGGTAGGAATATTTGCGAATGCAGTCGCACAAGAAGTTGAAAGGCTTTGTGTGGAATCCTGTAATGGTTGTCAAGTCAGTCATCCTAGTCAAAGACAACATGACTGCCTCATGATGAACGAAAACGAACGGATGGCAAATGTATGGTTTACAAGCGATCGAACGAGTGAATGGTAAGCGTATGGTTTGGAATGAATTCGCTGAGGCAATGAGGGTACTAAAACTGGCGGTTGATAGAGATGTACTCGAACATTTACAGCAACTGGAAAAAGATCCAGATTCTACGTTTGTCGATTCATTGATGGAACTACATCAGAACACTGAGAACCACGAACTACAATGTATACTGAACTATTTGTTTCATTGGGGATTAGAAGACCCACTCGAGTCCGTAGCTGAAGCGTTTTTCTCTTACCCACCGAGTTACATGTATTATGTGAAGGCGACGGGTGAACGATTTAGAAGTTTTGAGGCAGATGATAAGAAAGCTTATCAAGAACTCATGGAGAAAAAACTTATAGAACAGTTTAACAAATAGTTTTAGTTGTAATATTTTTTGACACTATCGTCTGTTATTTGTATCAATAAACATGTTTTATACTTTGCAAATGTTGCGTTGTTATGCGTTGCTAAGTCATTAGGAGGCGTGTAGGTAATTAAGGGGATTAAGGTAATACAAATTTGCATAACTAAGTGTATCCCGATGGATAGATAGGGATTATTTTTTAACGCAGGTGTATACCTTAAAATCAGGCGCGTGGCTTTGCGGGTACATGCATATATTAAAGTACAACATATTTGTACACGGATCTTTTCGCGCGGGCGGAAAGAGCGGGCTTTGCCGGCAAAAATTACACAATATTTCAGTTTTTAAACACATTTATTTCTTTAAAACGTTTTACAAAATTTAGTACGGTCTACTTCTAAGAGCGTAACGTCTAGGTGTTTTTGTTATTTTAAAAGAGTTCTCATATTCTTGTCTATCTTCTGGGGATAACTTTGCAAGTTTTTCCGGCTTCATTGGAATATACTTCGGTCTATCGCTCAATATAAAACATTCATAATCCTCTCTTGCTTCCGGAGTCATTCGCGCTAGCTCACGTTCGGTCCAATCTGCTGGGTCTTTTATTTGTCCATTTTTGGTGTGAACTCCAATCCACCCGCCTTGCTGTTAGACGTACCATACGAACATAGCTCGCAGAAACCAATGACATGCGAAAACAGTAGAGGTGACTGTTCATCACATATCATACATTGAGCGTCTTTGCCCCAGTAGAAATCTTTCCACGAACATCTTGGGCACTTCATTAAGTATACAATGTGACCAGTCTCTTCTCCACAATGGTTACAAGCTAGTTTCTCGGGCTCACCATCATCCTCATTATCATCATCCTCATTATCATCATATTCGCTTTCATTATCACCTTTGTCAGATTCCCTGTCCTCTTCACCAGAATCGCTTTCAACATCACTCTCAGATTGTGGCATTTCATGTTCCTCCTTTGCCATTTTTGACAATAAATACTCATTTTTAATTAAATCTTTATTAACCCCTGCTTCTACTAGACCTTTTGTAAACAGGTCAAGCCCTCGTGGTTCAGGAATGTGAGAGTTGTATGGTAAAAGTGCGTATTGTAAAAAGTTCTCGATGTTAGTACCAGGAATGTCTCTTCCATGATAAACAATCTCACCCTGAGGATTCCAAGTTAAAATATCACTTGATATAAGAATAGAAATATTTCCCACAGATATGACACGAATGAGACATGTTTACTCCATGACGAATAGTTAGATAATAAATCTCTCAAATAGAAACCGAGTTTATATAACTAGTATCTCGTAGCCAACTCCCTAGTCTCGGACCCAAGCTCCTTAGGCTCGGAGCTCCTTAGGCTCGGAGCTCCTTAGGCTCGGAGCCAGCTCCTTAGGCTCGCAGTCAGCTCCTTAGGCTCGGAGCCAGCTCCAAGCCCAAGGAGCCGAGCACCTTAGGCTCGGAGCCGAGCACCTTAGGCTCGGAGCCGAGCTCTTTAGGCTCGGGGCCGAGCTCTTTACACTCGGAACCAGCTCCTTAGGCTCGGAGCCAGCTCTTTAGGCTGGGAGCCAGCTCCTTAAGTTCGGAGCCAGCTCCTTAGGCTCGGAGCCGAGCTCCTTGGGCTCGGAGCCAGCTCCTTAGGCTCGGAGCCGAGCTCCTTGGGTTCGGAGCCTGCTCCTTAGGCTCGGAGCCAGCTCCTTAGGTTCGGAGCCAGCTCCTTAGGCTCGGAGTCAGCTCCGAGCTGCTTAGGCTCGGAGCCTTGTCTAAATTGCTTTCTCTCTTCCGATATAAGCTTCCTTATTGTTGTGTTTTACTCATTTGCTTCCAAACCGTCGAACAGAAATGATCAATCTTCTAAGGCACAAGCCATTTCTTGAATTGTTGGGCACGTCTGAGCCTGATCAACAACAAGCACTACTGGAAACAGCAACCGCCGAGCAAGTACACTGCCTGTGTCTCTGTGTAGAAAACGTTATGAAAAGAAAGTATTTAATGTTGAAGCATGTAATGAAGAAACTCCGACCTTACAGACATGAAATGCTTAGGTTGGTAGATAGAGGAAAATGTGGAAGAAGAAAAGAACGGATACTCATTCAGCATGGTGAAGGTTTCCTTGGACTATTACTAAGTCCTATTTTGGAAAGCCTGGCTGAACTTGTATAAAAGCCCTGTGACTACAAATTATACATCATTTCAACAATGAACATCGAGAGTAAAACATCTCCGCGACATTGGCGCATTGAAGATATACTTTTGTATCTGAACAATAATGTCAAAAAAACTACAGCAGAAAAAATGCTACATTCTATTCTTATATCAAGTGATATTTTAACATGGAATCCTCAGGGTGAGATTGTTTATCATGGAAGAGACATTCCTGGTACTAACATCGAGAACTTTTTACAATACGCACTTTTACCATACAACTCTCACATTCCTGAACCACGAGGGCTCGACCTGTTTACAAAAGGTCTAGTAGAAGCAGGGGTTAATAAAGATTTAATTAAAAATGAGTATTTATTGTCAAAAATGGCAAAGGAGGAACATGAAATGCCACAATCTGAGAGTGATGTTGAAAGCGAATCTGGTGAAGAGAACAGGGAATCTGACAAAGGTGATAATGAAAGCGAATATGATGATAATGAGGATGATGATAATGAGGATGATGGTGAGCCCGAGAAACTAGCTTGTAACCATTGTGGAGAAGAGACTGGTCACATTGTATACTTAATGAAGTGCCCAAGATGTTCGTGGAAAGATTTCTACTGGGGCAAAGACGCTCAATGTATGATATGTGATGAACAGTCACCTCTACTGTTTTCGCATGTCATTGGTTTCTGCGAGCTATGTTCGTATGGTACGTCTAACACCAAGACGGGTGGATTGGAGTTCACACCAAAAATGGACAAATAAAAGACCCAGCAGATTGGACCGAACGTGACCTAGCGCGAATGACTCCGGAAGCAAGAGAGGATTATGAACGTTTTATATTGAGCGATAGACCGAAGTATATTCCAATGAAGCCGGAAAAACTTGTAAAGTTATCCCCAGAAGATAGACAAGAATATGAGAACTCTTTAAAAATAACAAAAACACCTAGACGTTACGCTCTTAGAAGTAGACCGTACTAAATTTTGTATAACGTTTTGAAGAAATAAATGTGTTTAAAAACTGAAATATTGTGTAATTTTTGGCAGCAAAGCCCGCTCTTTCCGCCCGCGCGAAAAGATCCGTGTACAAATATGTTGTACTTTCATATATGCATGTACCCGCAAAGCCACGCGCCTGATTTTAAGGTATACACCTGCGTTAAAAAATAATCCCTATCTATCCATCGGGATACACTTAGTTATGCAAATTCGTATTACCTTAATCCCCTTAATTACCTACATGCCTCCTAATGACTTAGCAACGCATAACAACGCAGCAAAGTTTAAAACATGTTTCTTGATACAAATAATAGAGAAAAAATATTACAACTAAGACTGTTAAATTGTTCTACAGGTTTTTTCCTTCAAGTATTCTATCTGACTCGGTCATCTTGACCGTATATATGTATGTAGGTTTGCTAAATAATGTTGAACAACATGCAAATAGCGATCATAACAACAGCTTTGACAACCCGGGATTAGCAACTGCTTATTTCTGTTGCGATATTTTTTATTTCTGTTTGGAAACTTATTGCTCAAAACGAGCCATCAAAATTAAAACGAATTTCAATTGCGTGTTGAAAATAAGAGAGAGACTCACAACGTTGCTACATGGTTGTAAGGCAAAAATTTTTCTACCGTACCGGGTTCGAACCGGTGACCTAAGGAATACTGATTTGGTAATAACTACAGTCCTTTGCTCTACCAACTGAGCTAACGGTAGGTTTTAAAAACTAACTTCTATTTCATACTTTTATACATGCAAACTATGAGAAACCTCTTGTCGTTATATTACAAATTTGTCAGAAACTAGTTGTGATGCTAATTGTCACCTGCCACATTTGGCCCAGGCCTGCCCGCGTTAATTGGTCGCGCTACCTGTCACAGTTGGCCCAAGGTTAGGGTTAGGGCCAGCAAAGTTACGTCACATATTTTGCATACTAATTACTTTCGGAGCAGCGTGACGTCACTACGCACCCTCACTTGTGCGGCCCCCTTAATTACCTGCATATATGATGCGCCGCCCCCTTGCATAGTAATTACCTGCATATATAATGATGCGCCGCCAACCGCCGCCCCGCCCCAAAAATCTGGGTCGAAAACCACCTACTATACTACTTATGCTTATCCTGCAGGCTGCAAGCAGCCTTTGCATAATCCCCAATTGTACTTCATAATACTCGCCTCGATATAACAATGTAAGTTTAAAGCCTCATCCTACTGAAGCATTGTGTAATATCTATATATATTCTATATATATATCTATATATCTATATATCTATATATCTATATATCTATATCTATCTATATATCTATATATATCTATCTATATATCTATATATATCTATATATATCTATATATATCTATATATATCTATATATATCTATATATATCTATATATCTATCTATCTATCTATCTATCTATCTATCTATCTATCTATCTATCTATCTATCTATCTATCTATCTATCTATCTATCTATCTATCTATCTATCTATCTATCTATCTATCTATCTATCTATCTATCTATCTATCTATCTATCTATCTATCTATCTATCTATCTATCTATCTATCTATCTATCTATCTATGCATAAATCGGAAGACGTACAAAAAACCGCATATAAGACTTTTAAACAGTTTTTTTTATTATTCAAATAGTTTTTGAGTTATTGCTGTTTTAAATGTGAAAATTGGA